GTGACGGAAAGCGCGCTTGCGTCGCGATCCGTTAGTCGCGAGAAATAACAAGGGGTGTGTGTGGGGGTAGGCGAAAGGGGCGCCAGATGACGGAAAGCGCGCGTAGCGTCGTTATCCGTTAGTTGGGAGACATAACGAGGGGGGGCAGGGGGGGGGTAGGCTTGACGAGGCCCAGATGGCGGAAAGCGCGCGTAGCGTCGCGATCTGTTAGTCGGGGGAAATAGAAAGGGGGGGTGGGGGTAGGCAGCCCTGGGGTCAGATCTAATGGCACAAATGTTTGTCATTTTCGGCCCAAGATGGCCCAAGTCAGCCCCTAAGAGGCCCCCAAGACGGCCCAAGACAGCCCCAAGAGCGCCCAAGATACCTCCAAGACAACGTCAGAGATGCCCAAGAGGGCCCCAAGACGGCACATGAGCGCTCAAAGAGGGCCCAATCTGGTTTCAAGACGACAAAAGAGTCTCCCAAGATGCCCCAAGAGGCCCTAAAGGGGACTCCCAAGAGGCAATAGTCGTCCCATGTAGGAAAACATGTTTAGCAGATTCGCTTCTTTGGCCTCAACAGTCTCCGTCTCCATGGCGGCCCAAGAGGCCCCCAGGATCGCCCCAGGACGTCTTCAGAGGCCCCCAGGACGACCCAAACAGGCTCCAAGGCGGCCCAAGAGAGCTCCCAGGCGGCCCCAGAAGGGGCCCGAAAAGGCCCCCCAGAGAGCCCCCAAAAGGGGCAGAGGAGAGCCTTTTCCCTTGGTCGGGGCTTGCGAAAGATGTGTGGCAACCCGAATTGGTGACCCGGCCTTGGACGCTTCCGACAGGCTGACCGAAGTGGCAACAGTTTGGGCGTCGACAGCTACATGGCTCTGAGTTGGATGCTAGTGCGACCGCGATCCGCCGATCCTGAGGCAAGGCAGGAGACGGGCTTGTCTTGTAACATATCCGCCCCCAAGCAGCCCCCAAGAAGAGAGGCGGCCCAGGGTCCCCAAGATGGCCCAGGCGGGTCCCGGGGCAGCCAGAGGAGGGCCCCGAAGAGCGGGGCGCCGAGGGCAGGGTGGGGGCGTCGTGTGCCTTCGGGCGGCGGCGGGGAGGCTTCGGGCGCACATTGCCAGCCTGGAGCATATTCAGGAGGAGAAAAAACACACAGACACAATGAATCCTCGATTCCCCAGAAAATATGGGAAAGTATGGGAAGTGGGGGGATATGGGAACATATATGGGGGATAGTTTTATTTGTGTGTATTGATTTGTGTGTCCTGGGGCCCCTTCACATATCCCTATCCCTATGCTGGGCACCTCCTCATCACGATGCCAATCTTAGGGGCTCCCTTATTTTTTGAGGGCGGGTCCCCAAGATTGTCATCGCCTTTTGGCGTGTCGATCTTAGGGGTAGGGGTACGTTCGAGGCTGGTAGGCACAGGTGTCGGGTGAAGGGGGCCCACGGGACAGATGGTCCGGGGCAGGGCGGACGTCGTGTCGGGTCGACGGCGGGGGGCGTCGTGCCAGGTCGGCGGCGGGGGGTGTCGTGCCACGGCAGGGGTGGTGCCGGGCTCTCCTTCAGTTTCGGGCGGAAGATGTGATCGTTTTCTATTCATTGTTTTGCCGATCGGCGGGGGCCCTCGCAGCCCCCCCCCGCATGGAGTAGATCTCGGCTGTTTTTGGCGCCTGTCTCACGCAGGTGGAGCTTTTCCCCCCACACGACGTACTGCTGCAAACAGTCGCACTGAGCAGAGGTACGGAGCCAGACCCCTTCCTTTCCCCCCTACCCCTTCCGCCCAATGTCGTAACGCAGAATAATAAAACACTCGCACGCTCCAGTCACCGAGTGGCAACCCAGAGGGGCGAAACAAATACCTATCTGTTCTATCCGTCACGTGGCAACGCAATGGGGGTCGGAACGAATACTGTTCCAGTCTGGCCAGCACGTGGCAACGCAGGGGGGCGAACACATATTTTTCCACTCTCCTCGTCACGTGGCAACGCAACTTGGACGATACCATATCATGTCATTTGAACTTGTCACGCGACAACGCGGGGGGGCGGAACACATTTGACTCCACTCTGCTCGCCACATGGCAGCACAGAGGGGCGAAACGAATACGTACTTCATTATTTCCGTTGTGAGGCAACACAGGGGGGCGGAAACATAGCATTCTTGTCTTATTCTGCGCGTGGCGACGCAGGGGGATCGAACACATAGCTCCCACACTGCTCGTCACGTGGCAACGCAAAGTGGCGGAGAAAGGACGATTTTAGTCAACTCGTCATGTGGCAATGCAGGGAGGCTGAAGAATGCGATTCCACCCTGCCCGCCGCATGGCGATGCAGAGCGGCGACGCAACATACTCATTCCCCACGTCACATGGCAACGCAAAAAGGGGTGGAATCAATACGAGTTCGGTCGATTTGACGCTCTGCAAGGCAGAGGCAGACGGGGGCAGAGAACAGTCCGAAAACGCTCGCCGGCGGACCAGAAGCCCACGAGAGCCCAGGCGTCCCCAGCGTACACCAGCACGTTTCGGCACGCCCCTCACGCGAATCGTGGCCCTCAGGAGCCTGGGATGAGTTCTGTGACTCAGGCAAGAAGTTTTGGACTCCGAATGGCTGGTTCAACATCGTAGACGTAGATGCAAGCACATCCTAACCCGTAAGCCCTTCTTCAGGGGGCCCCGCGAGTCGTGCCAGTGCCACAGAGCAGGTCCGTTGGCTCCTATCGGGGGAGCGTAAGACCCGGGTTTGCCAGGACTCGGGTTCGCCATTTTTTTTTGACGACCGCGACTCGGATTTTGACGAGGAGGAGTTTCGTGGGATGTCTGCAGCGGGAGGCCTCGTCAAAATGCAGGCTCGGCCTCGTCATTTTTTCGACGACCTCGTCGGGGATTTCCGAGTCCCCCGTACCCGGGTCTTACGTCTCCCCGATCCTAAGGTGACGAAGCGTATGGCGCACGATTGCTCTGTCCGTCCGTCCTCGTGTTTCCCCTTCCCCGGCCTCCTCGGCGGCCCTCCGTGGAGGGAGGGAGGGATTTGGACTGCCCCTGCGCCCCTCGAGGAAGCAACAACACATACCTATACACACATATACACATATATATATATATATATATATATGTATACATATATATATATATATATATATATATATGTAAAAATATATGTATATATATATATATATGTATGTATGTATGTATGTGTGTGTGCACACATATGTGTAGACCTACAGTGGGGGCGTGTACGAAGAAACTGGATGTTTTTCGTCAGGGCATCTTGGGTTTCTTCGCTCCGCGCGACCCGCGATGGTTTCCCGCGGGCGTCAAGAAACTCTCGCGTTCAGGAGACCTTGGGTTTCCTCCCAGTTCTACCTTGCGGAAGCAACGCCCCGCCACCGAAGAAACTGCGCTGCGCCGAAGGTACCTTGAATTTCTTGCGTCCGCGCGGAATCGGAGGGCCAACAGCTAAATTGCTAAAGAGCCCCGCCACCGAAGAAGCCCCGCTGCGCCGAAGGTATATTGAATTTCTTGCATCCTCGCGGATTCGGAGAGCCAACAGCGAAATTGCTAGACTGCCCCGCCACCGAAGAAACCCCCCTGTGCCGAAGGTGCCTTGAATTTCTCGCGGCCGCGCGGAGTCGGAGGGCCATCAGCGAAATTGCTAAAGAGCCCCGCCACCGAAGAAACCCCGCTGCGCTGAAGGTACTTTGAATTTCCTCCACCCGCGCGGAGTCGGAGGACCAGCAGCGAAATTGCTAGAGTGCCTCGAGAACCCCCCCTTCGCCGAGGGTACATTGAATTTCTTGCATCAGTGCGAATTCGGAGGGCCAATCGCGAAATTGATGGAAAGCCCCGACACGGAAGAAACCTCGCTGCGCCGAGGGCACTTTGAATTTCTTGCATTTGCGCGGATTCGGAGGGTGAACAACGAAATTTCTACGGGCGCATTTTCCTAGCGCGACCTGCGAAGAAACTCTTCGGGCCAGGGTTCCCCAAGAAACCCAGAACCTGGGCAAGAAACTCTGTGGATCTTCAGGGTTGGGCTTCTTGCGACGGTCTCTTGCGGCCGTGCGCCCACTGGTATATGTAGATGATCAGGAGGGAAAGAAACACACAGACACAGTTCATCGTCGACTTCCAGGAACATATGGGAAAATATGGGAAGCGGGGGGGAAGACAAAAACCCAAAACATATGGGAAAATATAGGGGAATCTTTTTATGTGTGTCTATTTATTTGTGTGTCCCACATCCCTCGTCGAAATTGAACGCAAGTTTTAGCCGCGACCTGGCGGCGCCCCCCGAACCCCAATTTCAATGTTCACGCCGACGCCGGCGACTTCGAGATTCTCTTCGGACCCCGCCGGCCGCGATGCGCCTGTCGATGGACGTTGAAATGTGGGGGCGACGGGGGCAGAAAAAACTTGCGTTCAGTTTCGACGAGGGTTGCAGTTCCCCTTCAGATGAACAGATAATCAGAGCCCCGAATCATCAGGGGTAACTCGGGTCAGGGCTAACTCGGGTTCGTTTTTCGGGAAGCCGAACCCGACTTACCCCGGACCCGAGTTACCCCGGATAACTCGGGCGTCCAGAGCCCCGAATCATCAGGGGTAACTCGGGTCAGGGGTAACTCGGGTTTCTTCTTCGGGAATCCAAACCCGAGTTACCCCGGACCCGAGTTACCCCGGATAACTCGGGCGCCCAAGATAAGTCTGTCCATCTAGCTCCGCACGGATTTCTTGGATGCGCGCTCGGCCCCTCTCCCTGCCGCGCGGAGCGGCGCCCGGGGCGGCGCCCGATGGCGCCGCCGGGGCGGCCCAGCGCCGATCGGAGAATATACGCGCGGAGCCTTGAAAGTGTACGTTCCATTAGTCCTCCTCCTACTCCTCCTCCTCCTCCTCCTCCTCCTCCTCCTCCTGCGTGTCGTTCGCTCCTCCTCCTCCTCCTCCTCCTCCTCCTCCTCCTGCGTGTCGTTCGCTCCTCCTCCTCCTCCTCCTCCTCCTCCTCCTCCTCCGGGGAAAGAAGCAGGTGTGCCGGAACATGGCCCGCAGCCCCGCCTCGAAGCCCGACGGCTTCGCGAGCGCCATGCTGTACGGGGACGGCGTCTCGCGGCGCTGCTTGGATGTCAAAGCCCGCGCGGGTGCGTATGCGAGTTGCGGCAAGGAGGGGCCCACGGAGTGGCTGCAACACAGGTACACCCCCGCTCCTTATCACCATCCTCCTCTTCTCGTCGTCGTCGTCGTCCTCGGAGGAGGAGGAGGAGAAGGAGGAGGAGGATGTTCAGAGTTCCGCGCGGATTTCTTGGAGCGTCGCTGGCTCCTCCTGGCGGCGCCTCCATCGCCGCCTCTGGCGCGGCCCGCGCGCCAGGAAAAAAAAGGTCCAGCGCAGATCCCAGAAATCCCCGGGGACCTCCAGAAGTTTGTGTGTTTGTATCTTTCCTGGAGGCAGCAAAACCCCACCCCCACACCCAGCCAGGCCCCCCACTCCCGACCTGGTGATCCAGGGGGTCCTGGCTGGTGTTGGGAGTAGCTGTCTGGCCCCCAGGAATCCCGAAACGCCACCCCCATCCCCAGCCAGGCTTCCTTGGGTCCTGACTGGGGGGAGGGGTTGGTTGAGCTGTCCTCTCTGCTGCCTTTCATCATCATCATCATCATCATCATCATCATCATCATCATCATCATCATCATCATCATCATCATCATCATCATCATTATCATTATCATTATCATCATCATCATCATCATCATCATCATCATCATCATCATCATCATCATCATCATCATCATCATCATCACCATCCTGCTCCCGCCCCCCCACGCGAGCCGAGGTCCAACTCCTCCGAGTCGCAGCAGGTGGTGCCCGAGCTCTACGGGGACGGCGTCGTCAGCGCGAGCCCGTGCCCCGGCCACGCGGCCCGCGGCGGCTGTGGCCCCACCTCCGCCCCGACCCCGTCCCTGCGCCCCGCCGAGGAGGGCGGCGCCGTGCCCCGGCAGCCGCTGTAACAGCCGCTCGCGCCGTGCCGGCGCCCCCTTCCCCCCCCGCGCCCCGCAGCTATGTCCTGTCTGGACGCCCGAGATGGGCACGGAAAGAATGGGCACAATGCCCAACAGCAGTTCCTGTTCATTTTGAACAGGACGCGCTGTCCGCGCCGCCGCGGACGGTGTCCATTTGAGACAGAAGGCCGCCTGCCCAACAGCGGCCGCTGTTGTCGGGGGAGCGTAAGACCCGGGTTTGCCAGGACTCGGGTTCGCCATCGTTTTTTGACGACCGCGACTCGGATTTTGACGAGTAGGAGTTTCGTGGGATGTCTGCAGCGGGAGGCCTCGTAAAACTGAAGGCTCGGCCTCGTCATTTTTTGACGACCTCGTCGGGGATTTCCGAGTCCCCTGTACCCGGGTCTTACGCTCCCTTGATGTTGGTTTGGGGCAACGTTTGTTGTTGGGCATTGTGCCCATGTTTTCCGTGCCCATTTCGGGCGTCCAGATCCTGCGGGGCGGGCACCCGCCCAGGGTCATGTCGTGGCCAGAGGCGCCACGGCTCCAGGCCGCCCAGGTGTCCGAGGCGGGGGCTCCTCCAGAACCTCCGCCTGGGGGCATCCTCCTCCTCCTCCTCCTCCTCCTCCTCCTCCTCCTCTTTCCCCCTCCTTCCTCCTCCTCCTTTCGCCTTCTTGCTTCTCCCTCCTCTTCCCTCCCTCCCTCCCTCCCACGTGCCCTGCCTCCGTCCCTGGGGGAACCAAGAGGTAGGGATGCCGGAGGATCTCAAGCCGAATCCAGCCGCGGCGACGAGGATCGATCTCCGCGGGCCTCCACAGGCGGCGGATATGGACGTATTCGGGCCCCGTGGTGGCCGGAGTATTTCCATAATGGAGGATGACAATGACAGGGGGTCGTGTTCACGCGGCGGCGCCCGGGATGACGATTAGAAAAACCTGGCCGCGGGCTGGAAAACTATATCTTTAATCGTTCTCTTCCAGTCAGAAAATTGTGCAGAAATAGCAGGAAACTTTTTTTCATAGTTCTCTCCCATTTTTTATTAATCGTCATCCCGCATTATGTCCATATCCACTGCCCGCTGGGGCACTGGGACGTCGGTTTCCCAGGCTGCGGATGTGGAGGAGTCACCGCTTCCCACGGGCGGGGCCACAGTAGGTGGGGTCAGAGCTTCGCGCCGCGTCGCCGATGCAACGGCCGCTGAGTAACATTGCCGAACATAGTGCCCGTTGTAGTCTCTGGGTTGCAGGCGCAAAGGACCTGAAGTATCGAGTGTAGATAAGAAGTATATGGGGGTGGTCTGACCAGGTTCGCTACGGATTGTACGAAGCTCGCGACTTGCAGCGTGACGCATGCAAGCAGACGTCTCGCTTGTGTCTCACGGAGATTGTCGCTAATATTATCCTTGCCGCGTTGAGAGGTACATTTGGCTCGTTACGAGCCTCCATTTCCATCGTTATGAGTAACTGAGAAAGCTACTCCTGGCGCCGCGATACGCGGGGCTAATTTCCTTAGTTTTTGCTCCTTGGGCAGTGGTCCGAGAGCTACGCCGGTTCCAGGTGTGCGAGACAGTTGCGCCGACTCCTGGTGTCCGATTCAGTGTGCCACGCGCTGGCATGCTAAGAAAGTAGCAACAGCTTTTCTGCGCGAGCCTCCCTTTCAGTCTTCTCATTCTTATCACTAACACCACCACCATCCTCGTTGTCCTCCTCATCGTCATCGTCATTATCATCAGCAGCATCATCACATCATCCTCATCAGCATCAGCATCGTCAGCATCATCAGCATCCCGTCGTGTCTCGTCTGTCTTCTGCGCCTTGTGCCGACCAGGTATCACTAGTGTGGTTGTACGGCGTGTTATGCGCGCTGGGCGCCAGACATGTTTTGTGATCTTGGTATAGATATCAACGCTTGCCCGAGTAACCCAGCCTGGCACTCTCCTGATGCGCGCTGTCTAGTCGGCCTGGCAGGTGTTCAATATTATTCAGGCAAGCCATGGCAGCATGGTGAAATGGGGTATCGGATCAGAGGAGAAGGCAGAAGAATGGAGACGAAAAGGGGAGGTGGCATGAGGAGGAGAAGGAGGAGGTGGACAAGGGGGGGACGGGGATAGGGGAGCAAGAAGGAGGAGATGAGGGACGGGGACAGGGAGGGGTGCATATGGTGCATTTAGAACCACATGTTTAGAAAAATAAAGAAAATAACAAAAGAGAGAGAGGGGGGGGAAAGCGAGGGAGAAGAAGAAGGAGCAGATATAGGGGGAGGACGAATGTGAGAACGTGCAGGGACGGGAGGGAAATCAGAAGTAGATTATGACCTGGAGGGCGAGAACGAGAAGGGGAGGGAGGTTGGGGAAGGGGTGGGGGACGGACAAGAGGAGGATAAGGAGGACGCGGAGGAGATTTCGGAAGCGAGGGGCGAGGACGAGAGCATGTGCAGACGAGCGTTGCTTCTGAATAATATTGACTTGGCCTGAGGCATAGGCGGCCAGTTCAAGCTCGCGCCGATGTCTCGGCGCGGTGCGGAATGGGCAGCGTTCATGAGGAACAGCTCAGTCTTCAGACGACCAGGCGAGTTTTTGGGTGTCAGCCAGGCTTGAAACCTGGATCCTCACCAGATCGGAAGGCTAGCATTACGCGGAGGAGCTGCGTTGTCTGACTAATGATCCATTCCGGTGATTGCGACATCACGGGAGTGTCGTGGCGATCGAAGGCTTTGCTTGTCCGGTCATTCAGCATGTTTCACGCTCGCTGCAGGATTTTGGATGTTGCCGATGCCGGCGTGCCGAGGGAGCCCGCCAGCGCGTGTCGGACAGTTGAGACGCGCGCCCTGCCTTCTTCTTTTACCACGAGGGCCGGGCGAGGGGCAGGAGGTGGGGCGAGGAGGACGGGAGAGCCGCTCGGCAATTCTGCAGGGCCTGCCGTGGGCCGCCTCGGCCTCTTTTGGAGCCCGCTGGGGCTACAGTCGGGGCGCCTTTTCGTTGGGGAGGGGCTCCGTGTTCCTTAATTGTTTCACAGCTTGTCCCAGGTTGTCATGTCTTCGATGGGAAGTCGAGGTTCCACTCGTGGAAAACGGGGGCCTCGTTCCTCATCTAGGATCTGGGGTTCCTTAGGTCAGCGCCCCGACTGTATCCAAGGGTCCCAGCGGGCCCGTTGCGGGCAGGCTCGGGAGGGCTGGGGGCTCGCTGCGGAGGGGGCGTCCTGGCGGGGGGCCGCCAGCTCGGGGACACTCCGAGCCCGTCTCTGGCGGGCGACCTCAGCTCTCACCGCCTGGCCGATCGATCCTGGCCAGGGCCGGGATCGGTTCCTCCTCCTCCTCCTCCTCCTCCTCCTCCTCCTCCTCCTCCTCCTCCTCCATTTTGCGACCTGCACACATGTTGCCACTTTCGTTGGCTCCTAGGAGGCCCAGCGGGGCGAGGTCAAGCGCGTACGGAGAAAGGACCTCACGCCTCCCGGGTGTTGCCACCTGCGCCATTGCCGCCGCGTTCGCGAGCTTATGGCGGGCCCCGCGGGGGCACGCACAGCTCCAGATGGGACCTCGCGATGCCTGAGCGCTGCCACCTGCGCAAGTGTGGCCACTGGTCACCACTCTCATGAACCCGCTCACGAAAATGGGACTTCGCCCTCCCTCCTCCCTCCTCCCTCCTCCCTCCTCCCTCCTCCCTCCTCCCTGGGTGCTGCTCCCAAACGCGCATCCGTCGCTACGCTCGTGGCCTCCTGGAAGGCCCAGCGGATCGCCGTCTCGCGCACGCTCAAATGGGACCTCGACCTTGGAGGGTGCTGCCAAGTGTGCGTATTCCTTCAATGTCTTGATCCTTTTGGAGGGTCAGTGGAGTGGTGCCTGCCCTGCTTGGGTGTTGCCAATTGAAGTTCCTGGAAGGCCCAACGGGGTGGTGTCCCAGGCCAGCTCAGCAATTGGTATTTCCACACGTCTCGCGCGGGTGGGCGCGTTTAAAGGTAGTCAGAGGCTCGTGGAGGCCTTTTGGTCTCTTGGGCCCTATTGGAAGTTTCGGGGGCCTATCTGGAATTCATCTCGGGCTGAACAGAGAATCACCCCAGCGTCGACCTTCAATATGCGTATTGCTCGGAAGCCAGGGCGCCTGGCCCACAGCCAGCCCTGGGCCCTCGTGAGCGTCGTGAGTTTTCGAAGGCCAGGGCGCCCGGCCCACAGCTGGACCACGGAGCCGGCAGAGGCCTCCGGCCCTTGGTGGGCCCCGGAAACGGCAGGGCCGTTTTTTCAACGTTTCCCCAAAAATATCCTTCGAACATGAAAGCGGCAAAAAAACGGCAACCGGAAACGGCCCAAAAACGGCTCCAGGATTGGAACCGGAGCTGGAACCGGTCAAAGAACCGTGACGGAACCGGTAAAACAACGGCGTCGGAACCGGTTAAAAAACGGCAAAACGGAACCGGTCAAAAAACGGCCCTGTCGTTTCGCCCACTAAGCTCCGGCCCACCAGAAGGGGCGCGATCTCTGTGAAGGTCGCAAGTCTTCGAGGGCCGGAGCGTTCGGCCAGCAGCTGGCCCACGGAGCCGGCAGAGCCCGCCAGCCCGCGGGGAGGAGCGCCACTCTCTCGAGGCGCCCAGCCCACGGCTGGCCTGCAGGGCTGGCAGAGGCCGCGTGCCCACCGGGAGGGGCGCCATCCACAGCGCTCGGTTCACACCTGGCCCACAGAGCCGGCGGAGCCTTCCATCCCGCGGGGAGGAGCGCCATCCTTTGTGAGGGCTGCCACTATCCTCGAGGGCGAGCGCGCCCGGCCCGCAGCTGACTTGCAGAGCCGGCGGAGGCCTCGGGCCCACTCCCGGCGAGGGTCGCCACTTCTCGAGGGTCAAGTTGCGCTCGGCCCACGGCTGGCCCTCAGGGCTGGGAGGGGCCTCCGTGGCGCCCATCTCCCTGCGGGGGCCGCTGCACTTCGAGGACCACGGCGCCCAGTCCACAGCTGGCCCACCGAGCCGGCTGAGGGGTGCAGCCCGTTGGGAGGACCGCCACCCTCACGGGGGTCACCGTGTTTT